CAATGTGACGTTGAAAATTTGGGGTGCTGGAGGAGCTTTAATTGCAAAATAGGCCTATTAACAGAGTATTCAAAAGAAATGAACGGGGGGGGGCAGTCAGGATTTTGGTCTGGCTGTCTATCAGCATGACAGACATTTCTGTGTTTGCCAAGCTCCTCCTCTGCCAATAATAGCCGAGTGGATGGAATTGGGCAGTATGCCCCCCCAGCACAGTTTCAGAAATCCATCTTATTGTGACAATCCAGGCATCCTCTGAGTGCTTCTCTTTTATTTTCCCACTTCCTATTTAAATTATGATGATGATAAGATTTTTTCTCTTTTATTTTCCCACTTCCTATTTAAATTATGATGATGATAAGATTTTTCTTTGTCTTCAATGAAGACATTGGGAATTAAACAAGTCAGGCTTTAGAACTTTTGTTCTGAGCTAGTTAGAGGGGAAAGTTCTGTCCAGAGTTGTGAATTCATGATGTATGATTCTGAAATTCATTATTAATTTTGAAATTCAAGGAGTCCTTTACGCTACCTGTCCCCAGCTTGGCACATGTCTTGGAAGATGACCATAGAATTCTCAGCTAGCGTGGCCATTGGAGATTGCCATCCCAACATAACCAATTAGGAAAAGCTCTTCGCACAAGGTGGAACTGAAGTCTCCTGTTTTAATCACTGATAATATTTTATATGTGCAGGAGATCATGAAGATGGGGAAGATGGTGAAGGATCTTGGCCTCTTGCTCCTGACAGTCTCTCCCTAACATCTGACCGATACGATAAAGAGGACGAAGCTCCCTCTGATGGTGAGTGATTTTTCTGGATCTCAACCTGAATTATTATAATATTGTTGGTAGTTTGGTTGGTTTCTGATGAACTGCATGAGAGGATTTTGTAGAATAATTGGGGAAACAGTAAAGTCTCAGGAAGCATAAAGCCCTGAAAAGTTTCTTACCTTTCCAAGCCTGTTAAGGAACTGAAGAGCACTCTCTAGTGGCAGAAAAAGCACGGTGAAATGATAAAATATACAAACTATTTATGCTGTTGGCTTGTTTTGTGTTACACTTAAAATATATTCCTTAGATGTTCTTCATATGCAGATAAATCAGTGACTGAAATTAATTGTTTTTGTTAAGTTTTGTTAATTCAAATTCAGAATCCTGCATAATTGTATTGTGCTTTATTAATGGCTTGTTCTGTTGTATAAATAATGAATTTTTTTCTTGCAAACTTGAAACAGGATGGCTTCATAAAAGATTAAATAATTTATTCCTAAGATTTTTTTCCAATTAATATGCAGGCATGTACCTACTGAACCATTATTTTCTAAAATTTGAGCACTTCCCCCCCAATTTCTTAAATAAAAAACATAATCAGTTATATTTTTATTTGAAGGGAAAAGCAAATTAATACAGAGAATCATGGTTTACTACAATATTTTACTACTGAGAATTGAGCAATGTTTGATGAATCACATAATCAATTTATATGAATTGGTTGCTCAAAAATTTAGACTGGCCAGTGAGGGCTGCTGGATGGAGTGGTGGTTGGCCATACGCTGATCAAATTGTGTAGCTCTATCTCAATTGTTGAATGAAAATATGTTTCTTACATGATATGCCACATTTTATGTTATTCATATTATTCCCTTTGGAATCATATATTGCATTTATGAGATATAAAATTATGCCTATTGCAGGATAGGGATAACTCAAATATGTCCATAAGTGATAACCCTTCTAACAACCAAGCAAGTAGGATCTTTATATTCCTAGAATTCTACAGATTGTATAACATTAACAATGAAAGTTTTCTTCTTTTGAATCCACCTTTCTTTCTATATTCTAAGAAAGGATAGCTTCCAGTTAACATCAGCAATAAATTAGCATATTTCTTTTTTAATAGAAGAATTTATTGGCATAAGAGATTTGACAAAGTTTTTAGACTGATTTTCTCCTGAAGGCATTAAATAAAGTATAAACCAGTCCTTTGTCTTTATTCTGAAAAATGTGGTGCTAATGTTCCATTTTCCTGTGTTTTATGGCAGTGGGGTATTGAACGCATATACAAAGAAGCAGGCATGAAAAATGTTTCTTTCTTGTTTGTTTGAGAGAAAAAATGGACAACTGCTTTTGTTTGTGAAAGTGAAAAGTTAATTGCTGAACAATGTTGAAGCCTAAGCCTTAAGTATTATGAATACAAATGCATTAACTATTCATTTTAACAAGCTTCCAAATACTATTATTAAGCTATGTTAATTATATTAATTTGAATATTTTACATGGTCTTTCATTTTGTAAAAAATCAAGATTACTTGTATTAGCAAAAGGCCTACTGAACAAGACAAAAATCTTAAACAATTAAGCAGAAATGGAAACAAATGTTGAACAAAGAGATAAAGTTATTTGTAATTAATTTGGGAAAGGAAAATAATATTTGCCTAGCATCTCATAGCTAACAATGTGAGCCCCAGGCAAGCGTTAGGCAGAATTATATGTGTATTTCTTACACAGATCCTATAAACTTAATGGAATTTACTTGAAGATTAGAATATGTAAAGCTATTTATGTTTCTCCCACACCTCATAAATATTGATATTTAATCTTTAGATAATTTTTTACTGATGCCTGTCTAATAAATCACTAAGGTGTCTATCAGCAGAGAAATGAATTCTATTTATAGCATGGTCCTGTGCATGTCTGTTCAGAAATAAGTCCCCTTGAACACAATGGATATGTAGGTTTAAGATTAAATCCTTAATGCAGTCCCCCTTTTCTCTCAATTAAGCTCTTAAGCAAATTCAGCCTTTTAAGTGCATCAGCCTGTTCTGAATGTAGTAGTGGAATCTTTGCAGTTTCCTTATGAAAGTGCACACATTTGAAATAGTTAATAGAGCACCAGGTATTACATTTGTAAGTTCTCTGGAAACATAGATTAGTGGTCTGCGCATCCAGATAAAAGTGATGGACGCTGTGCTCTACATGGAAGCTTAGGAGTTACAAGCAGCCAGTGACGTCCTTGATTAAAAGATCACTCATCTTTAGCTAAACCTTTGAACAGTATTTTTAAGACCATGTCATAAATAAAGACTTTTTAAATTAACCATTTAGCATTTTGCCCACAAGATAAAGACTTTGTAACAGTCATCTTTGTTTGTAACTGTTGAGCTCTGTATATATAGTGCTATATTGAAAGATCCTGCTGTTTTGTCTATTTTTTGTCTAATAGTGTATTAATTAGAAGACAGTTATTTTAACCATGAGTAGAATAAACTAGGACAGGCCCTCAACTATCTTTTCTGTCAAATCTGGTAACTGTTGTGTCTTTCTGGCTGTTGCCCCCCAGAGTGTGTGAACTAGAGCTCCAAATTTTGTCTGCACAAAAAGTCTAAAGATGTGTGTGCTTTTTAGAATAATGCTGATGCAGTTTCTGAAAATGTTGGTTTTCTACATACACATCTCTCTCTATATTTTAAAGTCTGCTGCAGCCTCTCATGCTTTGTCTTGTAACAAATTCTCTCCTATCTCCTCCCCCCACCCCCGGTTCAAAAGTCCATTCAATTCCCCAATGGCTACCTAATTTTCCGGTTATTCCCTCAAGCCATACGTGTTTTGGTTTCTTTATGATTTATTAGGTACTGTAGAAAAGATGCATAAGTTACATCTTCTAATGAAATTCAAGCACACCTCAGTAATGCTTTGACTCAGTTGTCAGCAGCAATTACATTTCTAGCAGGGAGAATAATACAGAGGCCCAGCCGTTTTACAGAAAGGAAAACAGAAAGAAGTTGGGAAGGTGAGAAAAACAGTTGTGAAGAAGCCACCTCAAAATAAAACAAGATGTACAATTCCTGGCCAGCATACTCTTCCTGTCTGGCTCTTCTTTTATTGGCTTGCGGTCTGATTGATAGGAAAATCATAACTTGCTATATGCTAACAGGCAGAGTTCACTTGTAGGTTATTGTAAACTGATAAAGGCTTAGATGGAGTTTTGATTTTCACACTGGACCTGGCTGCACCAGATTAATGGAATTACAATGAGAAGCTGGACTAGTTGCAGCTTTGTCAGAAAAACTGATGGAGATTCTATAGTCATGACTGCTCATTAATACCACTTGTCTGAAAGGTGTGGGGGTTCTCTGTACAAAAGGCTCCGGATAACTGATTTTTGAACAGGATTTTATTTATTTATTGATGACTAGTTTTCTTGTAAAACAAATGATGGCCTCTTGTATAGTACAACAGTGTTGCACTTTTGTTAATATGTTTGTGGCAAGGAGTAGGCCTTGACCTGACAGTGTTCACCCTTTGATAGAGTTGGAAATCAGAAGAACAGGAGTGTATTGTTTTGTATATAAATCTTACATGGCAGATATTGCTGTTTTCTTTTTTAAGAGGCAACCTATTTTTTTTTTTTAAAGTTGAAATGTGAACATATTTGCAACTGATGTTTGATCTTAATTTGGAGAAAAACTAGGGTAGGTTCAAACCACTGGATTTTGTTCCTAGAAATGTCATTCATACTACAGTGCCATAGTTCATTTATACCCCAACCCCATAGTGAAATAAAGTAGGATGGTATATTATTTTCAGCAAGCCACAGTTTTCAAGGCTGTGGCATCTTCTGGTTTACCCTGACTTTGATTTCCCTACTCCCCGGTATGTTAGCTTTGAAAAGAAAATCCCAATTTTTGAAAGATTTGTGTGCGGGCCTCCTCATAAGTCAAGTGATAATAATTACACCCATGATTCAGTCATGAATCTAATAAGTTTATGTGACTCCATGAAGAAAGTTTAGTACCAGAAATTTCATGCCTATTAGTGAGAATGCAAGTTGGGCCACTCAGATATAAGCCATGTACTTTGGGGATGTTCATATGTATGTGTTGGCATACAAATGAAAGAAAATCAATCTTTCTTCACCCAAAATAACAGATAGTACAATGACTTAGTTCCAAGACTGATGGAATACTGAGGGGGCCAGCTGACAGGGAGTAGTAAACAGAGATGCAAGGAAGTAGATTTAAATGGCCCTCAATAATTTTTGCTACCTTGTAGAAAGATTTTTTTATGTATGGGTGGAATGGAGATAGAAATAGATGTCAAGAGATTAAAAAAAAAAATCCTTTTGATGGAATTTCTTTCTCATTCACCAGAGTTTCTCCCCTTGTTCTGATGCAAGCTCTGTGCAGAGAACTTTCTCTGGCTATAGGCTTCAAGATAGATAAAATAGATCCATCATTCTTACTATGCGAGTAGCTGGAGATATACTGCACCATTATTTATTTATTCATACAAATATAGGTAAGACTGATAATAAAATCATTTAATAGGTAAAATTTATGTTAGCATACCATGTCAGCTTGATTCCTTCATTATATTTCAAACTTCAGATAGCTTAACTACCAGAAATAGTGGGAGGTGGAGAGATAGAACTAATGAGCTTGTGATGCATTCTGAAGTCTTTTTAGTTATGAATCAAAACTTGTCTATGTTTGTTTAGAATGCTAATACTTTAGTGATGTAGGATTTATTTTCAGAGGGAAGGAAGGAAGGAAGGAAGGAAGGAAGGAAGGAAGGAAGGAAGGAAGGAAGGA